TCCCAGTACTTTCCCATTTTTCTTTTGCTTTCACTCCATTTGTTTGGGTTTTTTGGTTTTTTTTTCACTAGATGGTCATCCCTCATCTTGTTATAAGGAGTTTGACAAGCAAGACAGCGTTTTTATTTGAAAGTATTACTTGGAACTAAAGTACTTGAAAGTATTACTTGGAACTAAAGTACTTGAAAGTATTACTTGGAACTAAATTTCCTGAAGTACTACTTCGTACTAAAATATTTGTAAAAGTGAAATAACTGCATTCGACATAAAACTTATATTTGTAGATAATAGGTTTATGTGGAGCATTTGTGGCATTAAAACCCCTAACACTTGAAACTCTAAACTGTAGACTGATTATGAGAAATCCATCAACTAAACACTGGCATAAGTTTAAAGGGGCCAGGAATTAATTTCACTTCCAGGTTAAAACTGATTTTTTTCTTAATTTTCTATAGTGAGTTACTATATGTCTCCTTGATTACCCAAGATGCTGTTTAGATATTGACAGATAGGGACAGCAAAGCTGTGAGATTTAAGGTGCTAAAGACTATTCAGTTCAAGACTGTAGACTACTCAAATTTGCCATACTGTAACTCCTCATACAGAGTTTCTCAGTCCAGATATACAAAATATTCTGATGAAGAGAATAATTTGCAGTGGAGTGTAGTTTTTTTTCCAATATTGGTTCCTTCACGGAACCAATAATAATTTTATTTCCCACATTTTCTCTCCTACTTTGTATAGTTTCAGAACTAGGGTAGATTTTAAGTTATAAAAAAGTTAGGCTTTTGCATTTTATTAAAAGTGAGGAATAAGCTTAGGAAGGCTGGCTCACTGACCTCAATTTTTGCTTTCTTGGTGTGGTTTCAGGGGAATCAGCATCTTCCAAAAGTAAGCTTTTATTTGAATGAGATTTCCTGAGAAAAAAGATGAAGTCCAGCATTAATGAAACAGATTGAAGCTTGGGGACTGGGGAGGGGGAAGTATGTGGGGAAGCAGAGGGAGAAATGCATGCATGAATGATGGAGGAATGAAAAAAAACCCAGCCTTTTATCTTGTCCAGTATATCTCGTTCAGTAAAAGAACTGAAAAGAATAATAGAATCTATTGCCTGATACGGGAAGTTTAAAAAATTGTCTATGAAGACTAAAATAAAGTTTGATTTCATTAGCAAAAAATAAATACAAAATATTTAAAAACAAAAAATCAGCCACAAGGTAAGTTATTTACATGAAATGAATAATTAATGATCCCATTTTGACAGGAGTAGTTTGCTCCTTCTGAGAAAAAAAATAAAGGATAAGGTATTTATTTCTAGAAATTGTTTTTTCTTTCTTCACAGGCCCACTGGGAAGGCCTCACAGGCAGGATAACTTTCAACAAAACGAATGGCTTAAGGACAGATTTTGATTTGGATGTCATCAGCCTCAAGGAAGAAGGTCTTGAAAAGGTGTGTAAGACATTTGCCTGCAAGGAAGTGGGAAACAAACAAAACAAAACAAAACAAAACTTAACCCCTAAAAACATTTACAGCAGTATTTCTTGTGTAATGTAAAACAGTGTACCTGTTCTCAAGTCAGTATAAGTGGTACTAAAAAGTGAAGAATTGGTATCATCAGTGGTTTAGTTGTCTTCTGACATTAATGTTTCTTGTACAGAGGTGGAGTGAGAGCCCAAAGAACTGGGAAATGCTCTTTCCATGTAGCTTAGTATTGTCCATATTTGAACTGAAGAGCTCAGGAAGCATGCACAGATATTTGGCCTGCCCATATGACACCATCATAATCTGAAGTCAGATCATCTTCCCTCCAGCCACCTGACCATGAAGAGGCGATTGCGGGAAGCTGCAGTGTCTCTCATGGTTGTGACCAGCAGGCAAAGGTTTTGCAGCTGGCATCTGTCTTGAAGTTTGCATTTAGATCCGATGTTTAGTGTTTTGTAAGAACTATGTTTTCCTTCATCCTCAGATCAAGTTTTGTCAGCTGTTGCCCCAAGGTGGTAATTGTGGGCACAAATAAAAACAGAAATTAAGGGAAGGGACCATACTGCAGATTTACATTTTCTTCTGCAACATCACTGAATGGAGATGCTAGCATAAACAACATATTTTCCCAAAATTTCAGCTCACAAAACTAGCTTTAGAATATTAATTTTCTCTTACTGGGAAGATTTGTAAAAGCTCAGAAACCATGAGCTTGTCTTGAAATACTTACATAGGTAATTACATTTTTGTTGTCCAGAGGAAAACCTGTGATTCAAGAACTAAATTATATTTTAAAATGCTCAGTAATACACTAACAGTAGATTTCTGCCATTAAGTGTCCCATGAAGTGAACTCAGGCAACTTAGCCAGGGAAATGAATTACTAGACTTGAAAAGTAAATCAGTATTGTGTACAAGTAGAATAAGTACAGTGCAACCTGTCTTTTTTACTGGAAACAGAAATGGAAGAATTAATGTCATGGTAATAGCTAAATAAGTCAGCAGTGGCTGAAGAGTTTGTATGTAAGTGACAAGTGTTGAAAATGTGGAAAGGAAGTCTTTGTAGTTTAGGATGGCTTTAAGAACATTAGGTGACATTTGGGAATCGCAAAGCAACATGAGATTTCAGGAAAATAAAATCTCAGTTGACAATACACAAGGAGATATATACATCAGTGAAAATATAGAGATAAAGCAAAAAAGGTCTACAGAGAAATATGGAAGACAATAAAATTCAACAGGAAATATAATAGTACTCTAAAATACATAATAGAAAAAAGGAATTTGGTAAAGAGTTATATTGAAAGTTAAGTAAGAGACAAAAACAGAAATACTTTTTGAAACATAATGATATTTAAAAAAGCCTAGTATGTGCTTGAGCTGTATGGAAATATTTTCATAGAAAAGATACTTCTACTGCCTTCATTTCTTATTTTGGTCATGTGATAAGTGGAAGTGATAATATCACTTTTTCACCAAAAACTGTTGGCAATCTTTGGAACAGGCAGAAAGAATCAGTTACTGAATATGAGCAAAACCAGAGCAGTTTCTCTGGGGTGCAAGGAGATGAGATTAGGAAAAGGAAAATTCAAGTGTATGCACATTCAATTGAATTGCTTACTAAACATATGAAACATATGGTATATTTTACTGAGAAAGATAAATCAATGCCCACAGAGAAATGTTTCTCTTTGAACAACAAAACTTCATTATTCTGAAAGAATGCAAACCTTATTCTTCTTGACTCCAGAGTGAATGATTAAATTTTGCAGCAGGACACTTCCTAGTTGGAGTAGATTTTAGCCAGTTCTTTTATTTAAAAGTGCTGTCTCATAGTTTTGAGGATTTTTTCCTTCAAGACTTAGTTCTGTTAAAGTGATGATGGGCCACCCTTCTCTCAGTCCCCTACCTCCATCCACACGTGCACTCCACCTTTGTCTCCTTCTTTCTGCTCCTCCTTTTCTCCCTTTGCCTCTTCCGCCTCTCCCAGACCCTCCTTGCCTGTTTCGCTTTCCATCTAATCCTTCTCCCTTGTACCTATTAATCTCTTTCCTGTGGGATCTCAGCACCTCAGGACTGAGGTGCCACCGAGAGCACCCTTGGGGGGCTCGGGAGCCCTGGAATGTTCCAGAAGTGTCTGGTGGCTGGACTTTGATCCTACACAGGAGACGACACCTGTATGAGGACAGGAGGGTTTCACCGGGGTGAATGGTGAAGGGATTGGTTAATTAGAGGGTGAGACACAGGGTTTAGGATTTCTGTACAGGGGGGTTTAGAGAAGTAAGATGGAGGAATTGGGGCGTGTCCTGTCCTTCTTCTTCTTCTTCTTCTCCTCCATCTTCTGTGGTGATGGTGGCACTTTGGGATTGGTCATTACTGAAAGTGCCCCGGGCAATAAGAATAAATGGTATTGGGGAAAAATGATAAATATTGTACACGTAACCATGGGTATAAAGATAGGTGACTGTCCGGAGGGCAGGGAGTGTGCTCATGGCTGGCTGCTGAGCAGAGCTCTGTCGGGCCGAGAGAAAATCTTTTAGATAAACAATTAATAAACATAGAGACCGAAAGAAGAACTGAAGCCTCTTCTCGTCCTTTGATACGCGGGCTGCCCCAAGGCCACTCCGGGCCTTTCCAGGCCCTTCAAACAGCCGAAAACCGGACACTTTCCATGCCCTTTCTATTCTCTTTTTCCTTCAGGAGCCTTTTTGCATCTCTGTCCTTATCTGATATATTTCCAATGTTCTTCCCAAACCATCTTGTCAGACATCTCTGTCTATGTGCTAAGAGTTACTGAACAGGTTTATTTTTTTCCTTTTCTTCTGTACATCCTCCCACTTGTGGGATGAGAAAAGGTGGGGAGATGCATATTATGGTGCACAGAATTCTTATGCCGTGTTTCCATACGGTAAACTGTTGTTATTTCTTCTAACCTCTTTCCAAATATTTCTCTTGTCAGGGACAATAGTTTAGCTCAACAATTTCAGCTGTAATCCCTGAAGAGAAAAATATTGATGGATGGGAAAAAAAATAATTGTGAAAAATTACCAGAAGACTTTTTCTTTAAACTTAGATTTTGCACAAAAATGTCCTAGATAAATTACCTGTTAGTATAACCAGTATAACTGGGAAATTACCTGAATCATGTGTTATAAATTCAATGACTGCTGAAGTCAGTGACAACAGAACAATTCCTCACTGATTTAAAAAAATGCTATGTGTGATCTCAACTTTTACATAAATTACTTGTTCCTGAAACTCTTGAATGAGAGGTGATAATCAGGCATCAGTCAATAAGAAGTATGTGTTTCCAAATAAAATTTCATGTCTGCCAAAAATGATAGCTCCTTGTAAAATGAACATGACCAAATTAAGAGATGATTGGAGTGCTGTTAATATAATATACCACAAAATTTTATTACAGTCACTTTGGACAGACTGAAACTATTCATGATTAAGCACAGTGAAAATCCCAAACTGTGACACTCCAGCATAATAAATTATAATTTAAATTGCAGTCAATCAGTCTTTACACTGAAGCTGCGTTGTGAGGAAAATTATTTTATACTTCAAGGAGATAACAAATACCTGAATTTAATATCACTTTTGATATGAAAATTTGCCACTGAAGAAGAATCACATATCCTGAATAAGAGGTGTTACAACTGGCTTGAAGCCTTGCTCAGAAACCTTCACAGGGTGGTGAAGGAAGAGAAAAAGAGAGGGAAAAAAACCCAAAGACATGGTAAATCTGTGGGATCCAGAAGTATTAAAGTATTATTTATGTTATGTTTGACAAAGAAGGCATGTAAATTAATATTACTGAAAAAAAGAAAATAAATTAAGCAATTTGCAAATGGGAAATACAGAAATATGAAGAAACATTATTATGCCTAATGGAGTATAATTATTTCCTTGATGTAATCACCACTGCTACTAATTACTCCACAAAAGTAAATAAAGAAGGTACAGATAAATTTGAAAAATCTTTGAGAGTTGAGCATGGTTCTGGCTGCTTAGTCAGTGGGTAGCACTGTAGAAAGGCAATGATCCTTCCTAATACAATGCTTGTGGCACTTCACTGTCAGTCATATTCACAGTTTTGATTGACTCAGAGCAAAAATAATGTTAATTTTCTCAGGAGAACTTTGAAGAAAAATCAAAAAGAAAACTACTTGAAAGTATACTTATCTATTCATGAAGATAAATCATTTTTCTTTATCTCACTGTGGAGCACATGTTAATGGGTACACCTGGTTTGGATCCTGCATTTTGGATAATAAGTGTCAAAATATTCAGATTAGTATGGTCCCTTCAGAATAGTTTAGCCATGTAGGGGGATTGGAAAGAATAATAGGAGATTAAAGGCTTAACAATATAGTCAATATTTACAATATTTACTGTGTGAATGTTCTCTCTAAAGTGTATATATGAATACCTGTTTCACTTTTTAGGAAAATTTGTAAGTTTGTTTGAAACAAAAGTGATGCAATAATCTAAATTGTAGCTTGTTTGAATTTCAGTTATATGCGACCTTGATGCACTTTTTTCTTCATTTTTGGCTTTTAAACTTTTTTAGTAAAAACACATTGGCAATTCTATTCAGTTTAAAAAACTACTTAAAAATTAAAACAATGTGCTGAAACAAATAGAAAATTATTAACTTGCTGCATTGTTTTTGCAAAACTTTTCTGTAAGAAGCAGCTTTGAAAATACATTTCTGTGATTTGGGAGTTAACACATCAGTAACATATAAGAACCTGTGGTACAAGATGTTGGGTTTGAGCTCAACAGAGATAATACAAAGAAAGTCTAATTTTAAACCTCTGACTTTCGGTCCATTTCTTAGATTTTTGGTTAATAAATGCAGCTGCAAAATTGCAGTTAATCTAATTTAGAAAAATACATCCTCTTATCAAGACAGAAGTTTATTTTTAAAGTAATACTGTTGATTAATTCTTATAGGTCTGCAGTATATTAAGTCCGTAGTTAGATAAAATCCAAATTCTAGCAGTTGATATTCTTTTGCTTGTGCTTGTGACTATATCAAAAAGTAGGAAAGGATGTATTTTACTTAGCAATGTCTTACCTTTTGCCAATATAAATTTGAATTATAAACATGAATTTGAACAAAGCAAATTATTTAATGGATTTAGGATTTGAAACTGATTACATAAAACGTTGGTGTTTCTTCAGAAATTGTTGTGCTACTTGTGTACCTGAAGCTGCATCTCATAGAGGAGATTAATTCAGCTTCAGTTATGTAGTATCAGGCTCAAGTTCTCCTCTTCATCATTCCTTGTTATTCTACTCCAGTTTCATCTTTGAAGTAAAGCAAACACTGTGATTGTCATAATTAGCAGAACACTGCAATTAAATGTTAGCAACCTTTTTAAAATTTCTTGATTGCGGCCAAGCTGCAAGGCTGAACATTTTGTGTTTTCTGAAAGCCTTTCAATTCACTAAATCAAATTGTATTCAAACAGTAAATGAAGGAGAGATTTTTTGGTAGCAAGGCTTGATTTCGATACTTTGACAGGATGTGTTAGAATTTTTTTTCCAATTCTGAGATACACATATTCTTTCTTCCCTCCATGATTCTTTGATCGGCTTACGAGGCACTGAATGGCCAAGTTCCAGAGAGTGACTTCTTGAAACTGAGTGTCAAGCAAGGAAGGCAGAGAAAATATTGATTCCTGTGGGATAGAAAATTGTAGAAAAAGAGATCAAATTTGTCTTTTCTTTATTACAGCATCCACTGATTCACGCTCTGCTGTAGTCTCAGTTTTAGAAATGGAACTCTTTTTATCCGTTTCACCTTGCATCCTAAACTTACTTTACAGCCCTGTGGCAACAAATCACTTAAAAGTATACAAGCAACCTTTCTGGACTCAGTTGAAAAGATAATTTAAAAAATTGTGTATGTTTATGCATACATACATATCTTTGCAATGAATCCTTATAGAAATTCTTAATTTTTTGTATAGGTTTAGTTTTAAAATATCTTTACCTTGTGTTATAGATATTACTTAGTATTTGAAATTGTGTTTAAAATTGTGTCTAAAACCAAAATAGGACATATTTGTGGGGATTTTCCTAGACAATAGAGTAATACAAACATTCTGATTTCTAAAATGGGTAGAATATTTATAATATATTTATAATATATTTATATTTACAATTATATTTACCATTATAATTGTATAAGGATGAAAATGTAGATAAGTTACAGATAAGCCTCATTACTTAGTACGAATGCCTGTCCTTGGCCTGAACCTTAAAGCACAATGTTGTATGTTCTTACGAAGATAAAAATCCTATAGATTTTATTTTGAAGTCTAAAATGTCAAAATACTTATGTGTTGAAGATTTATCTGTAAATAAATTGGGTTATTGCTTGTTCCTGTCTTCTCCATTACTTTTTCCCAAAACCATATTTTGTCCTGCTGTTCTCTCTGATCACAGAAAAGGGTAAATCCTTTTGAAGAGACAATGCTCTCTTCTCTGCAAATTAATTTCTGCCTGTTATCTTCAGATGTGGTTTATCTTGAGAAATGGAAGATTAAGTATTAAGAGCAGCTTTAGACATTCTTTATATCATTTTTACACCTAATGTCACACTTCACAAAACATAATTTAAGATATTGCTAAACATATTTTAAATAAGCAGACTTTAAATGTAATGACAGAGAAAAATGAAACAAAATTTAATAATAATTCTTATCAATCAATTTTTTTCACCTGCAACAGTCTGTTTTTCCTTAAAGTATTCTTTTCTAGGTGCTGAATTGTAACTAATGGGTGTTTTACACAGTCATTTACTGTTTTATAGGTTGGAACTTGGGATCCGTTGAGTGGCCTTAACATGACAGAGAATCAGAAGGGAAAACCAGCAAACATCACAGACTCCTTGTCCAATCGCTCTTTAATTGTCACCACCATCTTGGTAAGCAATTGTATTTGCTTCCCTGAAGTACAGTTCTGCAGAGAAACTGATAGAATGTGACACACTAATTGCAATATTAGTGAACAGTCTGCCATGTGCGTTACCATTACTTAGAATTTACTTGGAATTACTTGGAATTTATGGTGTCATGAGTGATCACCAGTTGATAAGCTAGTCGTGGATGTTTACTCTTACCTTCAGTGTGAGCAGGTTATCCTATTTTAGAGTTGTATTAATTGATTAGTAATTTAACTTTTCTTATTATTGGCTGAAATGATTTCTTCTTTACAAAGCTGCTTTTTTCAGTGTCATATGAGATCACAAAAGATAATTGGTTTTAAAATGTGTTTTGTCTGTTAGCCCTGATGATTTTAGCCAGCAAAAATTTATTGCTTTTGTTTGCTATTCTAACACCTCAAAGGAAAGTACAAAGTATTTAACATTTATTTAGAATTGCTATTGCCCAATTATTGAGATGAATTTTTTAGTTATACGGATATATAATTTATGCTTTGGACTAGACCAGAAGAAACAATTTGAATAACTTCTGTATTATTTTCACTGTTGACAAATTCATAGCAGTGAATGAGGTATTTTTTACTTATAAACAAACACATTTATTTATGTAAAAATAAGTGTTCATTTATTTCCTCACAGTAATTTTGAAATAGTAATTTTAGTTTCAATGCAAATTTAAAACTTTCCAGAAGTTTGTCTGGTGTGTTTGTCTGTTGCCACCATTATATTGAATTTGCAGATATCAAAAAAGAATCTGCTTCCTGGTGGTTGTATACTTTATTAAGAAGTTTTTACCTACCAACATATATTATGATATTTCAAACTGGAATGAATTTTTACAGATGTATAGACACACATGCCAGTGTGCTTTAAACCGTTTATGTTACATAAGTCATATAATTTCATCCAGTGGGTAACTTTCTCACTGCTTATAAGGTCTGTTTACAAGTGATAGAAAATCTGCTGATATCCTTCACTTCATTTATTTTACTAATTGAAAAATACACAGCAGATATAGAAAATGGAACACGACTGACTGACTTTCAGATGTAATTTCTTGTTATGCTAAGACAAGCACAGATTTACCACAACTTCCTCTAGTACTCTAGTATTAATTATAGTGATGATCTGCTATAGTTATAATTTAGTTAATAAATTTATAATTCCTTGTTTCTTTTTTTTAATGAAATGTAAATTAATGTCATATATTCCCTTATATTAAAAGCATTTCCTCCAGAGTATTATTCTGTCAATTTTCTTCCCAACGACTTTCACATGTTTCCTACATGTAAAAACTACTATTTAAAAATTTACTATTATCAAGTAAATTTTATTAATAATTCCAATTCCATGCTCTCTATACTGCTATTGCTTCGCACCACATGTCCTGCCTAGGATTTTTCTTGGCACTATTCAGTGACCTGTAACTTCAATTCATGTGAACCTACTGGCTGCTAGAATTCCTGCTTTACGGAATGAAGTCCTTTCTGTGCCAGTGACCTGCTCCCTTTGTTACTCAGTAATGAACCAGCCTTGGTATCTGCGCTCCAGTAGCCATCATTGTGTGCTTGATTCCAGATAACATATCACAGATAACTGTGGTAACAATACTGCAACGAGGATCAATCCCCACAAGATTACACGAGAAGCACTTAATAATTTAGAGTGTTTCGACTTTGTTTGTGTTTTAACATCTGTTTTTTAATGAAGTTTGAGTTAATAAGCTCCAAGTATCGTATTGCTCTTATATGGTGATGCTGGCATGATTTTTGGTTGAAATAATTGGCTCAAGAAATGGTAAACAGCACAAATGTAAATAGCACTGCTGCCAGGGAGCACTGATTTCAATTTGGTAAAGCTCACAAAAGAAGACTCCTGAGATTCAAGAGAAAAGCTACTTTCTGTAATCAACAATATCCTTCCTCTTAAGAATTAACTTTTGGTTAGTGGACTTTTAAAAGTATCCATCTTCTTTGCAAGTATCTAAATAATGCATGAAAAACAAAAGGACTTTCAATTGGTGTCACAATTTGCTCACTTGTAGCTGCCTTTTTACTTCAGTTATTGGATAGTAAAAGTTGTGGTAATTGCAGCTGTTCTTTCTAGCTATAAGGAAAGGTACTCAGAAGAAGTGGTACAAATTGGAAGAGCTGTACTTGGAATAGTAAAAAGAACCTAAGCCATTTTTGGTGCAGAAACACATGTACTAGCTTCATTTGCTAGTTTTATCTTTTTTATGCTTAAAGAATATGTTTCTGTTGAACAGAAAGCATATTAATGAATATTCATTTTTGTAGCAAGGCAAGGGAACAATAGAAAATGCTAAAGCTCCTAGAAATATACCTACATCATCAGCTTTTTCCTCCTTTTTTGAGTCTGCAAAATCTTGCTTAAATAAAAAAAAAGAAAAGGCAATTCTATGATTTAAGCTATTCATATGGTTTTCCTATGATGTTTTCTTCACTTTGAGAATTCCCTACAATAGTCTATAGTAGACTGCCAGCTGGAGAGCCTTAATCATTTTTCTCTGTAGTTTGCCTTAATGCTCACTTTTTATTTAAATATCCCAGTCTTTCTTTTATTTTTAATTCTGAAATTTGGAGCAATATCTTTTCCTCCTATATTTTGCAGTCATTTAGATCTCTATAGCTGTAAGTATACCCTGAATTTCTACTTTTGACTGAGTGTCTAGAAGAAGAAGACATTGATGGGAAAAGTAATAAAATATCAACTGTAATTCATAAATTCATCTGTAAGGAAGAACAGAACTATGTGCTCCTTTTTGTCTTGAGTTCTTCATTTCACAGACAGCAAGCTGAAAGATCATTCCTTGGTTTCTCAGCAATTCAAAGCTCTGTTCTGGACAGGGATTCTCAGGACTCCAGCCTTTCTCAGAAATCAGCCTGCATGTAGTTTTTGTGAAGAATCCCGTCTGATTTCCAGCTTCTGAGCCCATGGCAGCCCCAAGCACCAACTGAACATGTCCACTGGAGAGACAGTCAGGTCTTTTTAGGGAAGGGGAGGAACCTTTTGAAAAATAATAACTATGCTGGTTTTTTATCTTCTGTAATCATAGCTTTGGATATATCAATCCTTTTTATACTATTACTTTGCTTTATTTTAAAACCATCTGCATTGAAACTTCAAAATTTCATTCTCTTTTAAAAAGTCTACTTTTTGAATATTCCGCATTTAGAAAAACAAACCAAACAAAAAACCTACAGAAAACAAATTTTCAGCTTCAGTAATAAGGATTTGCTATTATCTCAGTCTCCTAAATTGACTTCTTCCAGAGCTCTGAAACATTTCTTCTCCTTAGACTTTAGATGTAAATATATAAATGTTTTTGTTCTTGTATATATTCTACTTCAAACTCGAGAGAGTTTTAACTTTGGAATTAAATTTCCATGTTTATAAAGGTATGTGTATGGTACTTAGGGCATTTTTTATGCTAATTTCATACCAGCCTGTACATATTATCATACTGGTTCATATGCCCTGTTCTGCTAAAATAAATACTTGTTTCCTTTCCTGCATAGCTTTTATGTACTTTTCTGTATCTGCTTACATCAAAGCTCAGAAAAGCTCACAGTTGTCAAGTTTAATTTTTCCAAGGAATGTGTGAAAGTTATGAAAGGTGTGTGATGTTCTCAATTTAGTAGTTTTTGTTACTTCGCATTTGAAAAGTGAAATTACCTTTTTTATTGTAGTTCCCTTAAAAAAAATTGGTTTGAAATAAGAATAGAATTAGAAGGAACTAGAAGGAATATTTATAATACATTTTTAAACAATTTTACTTGGTTCAAAGTATAGTATTCCTACATTGTATTTTATTGATATATACTGCTTTATCAAATGGGTAGTGCATAATTTCTCTCCCTTTTCTTTTGGATACCCAAGCATGAATTTTCAGTGGCCAAATTTTAAATTAATATTAAAAGAATGTTAAAATTAAAAGAATAAATTTACCTGCTATCTTTTTAAAGGTGGATCACCCATCAATTGTTTTGATTGATAGTAACTAGTTACTTCACCTCTCCCACTAGAATTTTGACTGCCTACTGTGAAAACCTATTGTGTATTCCTTTTATCTGATATAAATGTTAAGAAGATTTGGCAGTCTTTTAACATTCCAGTATCCAACCTGCTGGTGAGCAGAAGCTAATCATCAAAATCTCTGTTCTAACAGTGGCAAATTTTCAAATGGTTCTCCTCCTCTCAATACTGGCAGTAATACATTTTAGATTCTTTTAAAAAATGCTATTCTGTGTTGAAACGATGAAGGAAAAATATGTGATTGATTAATATTAATAACAAATAAAAGAACTTGAAATTTAAAATTTGTTGTAATTCTAGTAATATCTTTGTATCTGAAATACAATATAACTCACAGGAATAATTCTAGTAAATATTTATCATTCAAATCTGAAAAAAACCAGGAAATTGAAGAATCTTGTTTTTTAGAATGTGTGCTTTTATTCAAGCATTATCTGTACATTTTTAAAGCTAAAACCAGACTATAAAGCTACAATGTTAATTAATTTTCAAAGATTTATCTTCTATGTGCAAATATGGTTTTAATCTACCTGTGATTCCTCTGTTCCTTATAGCCATACCTTTATTTGCAGTATTTTAGCTAACTTTACTTTTCCGTAAATTTTCTCCGAAAAAGGATTTGTTGCATTTACAAGTTTATTTACACTCTCACTTGGGAGTGCTTATCTGGCTTGGGAGGGGGCTCTTCTGCATCCCTCTTCACTAAAGATATTTTAGTCTTATGAGACATTAAATGATGACTTTCATCTTAAAATTTTGTAACAAGCTAGCTGACCAGGTGTTAATTTAGAATAGCAATGTTTCCTGGAAACATGCATCTTCCTAAAGATTCATTCTGGAGTCAACAGTCAGTGTTCAATCAGTGACTTTTTGCTTCCAAGCTACTTATGTCATTCCAAGCAATAATAAAAGCACTAATGGGAGGTGCTTCCCTCATTTCCTGGGGAGATGTGTCCAGTTAAAAAGACTTAGTTTCAACTGAAGCTGTTTAGAAGATTTCAAGTGCTCGTTTTGTGATGTGGTGTAGTGATTTTTACGGGTCATGTTTTGAGGAACTGAAGGAAAAGAAAGAAATTGTGAGCAGTGTTAAAGTAAGTATAAACCAGCTGCCAATCTACATATCAGTCAGTTTAAAAACTCTGCCTATCTAATCAATGATAATTGTCCTAGTGAACAATTTTGGTGGAAGTGATAAAATACCAAGAAGCAGTGGTGATTGTACATTTAATGAACAGAGACTTTGCTGAGAGTAGGTTTAGCAACCAGTTTTATGTTAGCCCATTCTACAAGTTTAAAGCTTGTGCAAATGGAGCATGTGGAACCCTTTGCATGCACTTGTTCAGGATACCTGAATGCCATGTTCAGTATTTAGAATGTGTATTACTCGAGGAAAAAGCAAATTAGAGAAAACATTGGGATTAATAGGATCTATTAGAGATGAAGCTGCCAACACCAACCCTGCTCAAGTTAAGTCAGAAATCACTTTACATAGCAAGAAAAAGGTCTGAAGAGAAAAAAACCCAAGTGCTTTTTGTAGTAGAAGACTATAAGAAAAAGCAGCAGTAAGAAATTAACTAAAGTAGGCTTGGAAAAGCATTAAGAGAGTATTAATAACTTATTGATCAGTCATCTCAGCAAAAGATAAAAATCATTAAATAGTTGTACAGATGCTATTGTAGGCCTTATCCAAGTTGGCCAGAGTAAAGAATATAAATGATTTGGAGTTGGAGCTAAGAATTCTAGAAAGGGTTGCAAGATTTTTTTTTTTTATTTTTCCTTATCAAAATTTAAAAAAAGCATCAGCAGAATAGATAATATGTCTGAGGATTTCTATAATGATCTGATAGAAAAATATGTAGGAATTTATCAATGAGCTGAATTGCTCAGTGCAGAAAATCCTGCTGTGATTATTAAGTAAAGGAAAATTAAAAGCACAAATTGACAAATATATGTCCTCCCTGATATTGCACATATTTAAATTCTGTCCCAGATAACTCAGGATTGCCTGGAATGGGAGACAGAGACAAAAATGTTGTCAAGAATCTTGCCAGGATTCCAGACATTGGGGGATGTGTAAGACTGTAAATATCTGAGCAACTCTGAGAGCAAATGTCTTGGATCTGTGTGTATGAGCATTCCAAGCTACATTAGAGTTCCTTCATGCCTACAGAACAGGCCGTGACACTGTGTAAGCACTGCTCAGCAGTAATGAAAATATTCCTGTGTTAGAACCCTGATTTGAGCACAAATCCAAACCACGCTAGTTAATGTGATGTAAATTGCTGCTACCCCAGAAAAAAAAAAAAAAACCAGCTAACCACACTATGTTTTGTCGTAGCATGGCTTCTGCTTGGCCAGTGGTGTGACTTCTTTAAGGAATTGTAATTTCACCTGAAAAAAATTGTTTTTCTTACAGTTATTTTCTTTGAGATATTTAATATAAACTTCTCCAGATTATTAACTGTCACAGACATCTTTTATGAAAAATCCTTTTCTTAGGATTTTTCCTCTTGAGAATCTGTGATGCTCCAAGAGCAAAATGTAAACAATGATTATCTATCTATGGTTATCTATGTAACATTCCACAACACTTATCTGCTGCTGTGGAATGCAAGAGGTAGATTTTTGATTGGCTCATGTTAGTTGTTTCTAATTAATGGCCAATCACAGCCAGCTGGCTCAGACAGAGTCAGAGCCACAAGCCTTTGTTATCATTCTTTCCTGCTCTATCCTTAGCTAGCCTTCTGATGGAATCCTTTCTTCTATTCCTTTAGTATGGTTTTAATATAATATATATCATAAAATAATAAATCAAGCCTTCTGAAACATGGAGTCAAATCCTTGTCTCTTCCGTCAGCCTGAGACCCCTGTGAACACCATCACAATTAACAAGTATTTTCACACATAGGTTTTGCTCTGACACCATCTCTGTTTCTCAAGAATTATTCAGAGATCCTTGTCATTTAAATTGTTTTCAACTTTCAGATTTTCTGTTAGGTCTTTGTTCTTGTCAGTACTACATCTCAAAGAGCTCTTCTGGAGTCATTTGTTTACCTGTTGTTTGAGAAATTTCTGTCAAAACATCCTAGTAGCTTGGCTGGACAATTTATTTCATGTTTGTTCCTTGCTAATTGTATAAAGATCTGTGATTTCTGAATATATGTCTGTAACCGTACTTATTTCAATAGGAGTGTATAGCAGCTTTTTAAAGAACAAGATTCTTCCCTGCATTCTCCTTTTCATTTTTTTTGGGTAAAATCTGATGTACTAAAGTTCCAGTTATATGTGGATATAACATTTAAATAATGGGAAAACTCAAGGCAGAAGATTACATTAGGAGTGTTGATTGATTAAAACAGTCAGGTGCCTGTGGAATGAGGTGCCTTTATCCCCACTGAGTGCTGATGTGGGGATTTAGGACTTTAAAATTTTCTTAAGTTGCCCTGGAGAGTTTATCTGAATGTTCACTGAGTCTTGTGTTTGGTGTAAAGATTGAATATACCATTATTTGTCTTGCCTTATGTGATTTTTTTCCTTTTTAATTATAAAAAATGAAAAGAATCTCTCCCAAAAGTGAATAAAGATCGAGTTGCATATTTAACCTAACAAACACAGCTTGAATATTTGTTCCATATTGCAGTGGAAAACTACCAATTGTTTTTTTGTAATTTTACGTTTAATTTTCTATTTGAGAAAGGCCACCCTATACTGAGAAACAGATGCAAAGGTACTGTTTTGCAAAATGTAAACTTTCTTCCTATAATTATGGTTTTTCTGCCAATCCTTTTTATTTGTTTGCTATCTGTTTGCACACCACTTAATGCAAAAAATATTACATTGTAATTTGATTTTAACATTAGAAGATAAATGCCTAAAGAAATTTAATTCAGTTTTCATGGAACGTCTATCATAGAACTTACTTTTTGTGTAAATATTCCCACATTTTGCTGCAGTCTTGTAAATGGCAGCCTATAACTTGAGGCAACAGAGAAGTAGGTGCTTTCACTGACTTTTTCCTTCCCATGTGGGTTTTTTAGGCTTGGCCTAAAAGGCATTGAGAAAACAGTTTAAATACTTATATAAATAAAAGTGTAAGATCTAATATCTAAAATATTTAATCAATGTTTGGAGTTTTAATGAAATTTTTTTTCAGTTGCCAAAGCATGTTGTTTCTGCATTTTAACAGGCTTATGTTGTCCATCCAAACAATACATTTTATATTGCTGTATAATGGAAATAGTTAGGGAACGCACTTAAATTTAGTGTGCATATGCATTCCTTGAAGATATATCTTCAGTGGTGAGAGTGTAATTTTTTCCAAAATGACGATGAGAATCTTTGAAAATATATGAAGGCATCAGACATACACAGACAAAGCCAAAAGGATTCTGGTTTTCACATTATTTTGTTTTATAGGGAGTGATGTCATGAGTGTACGCATATAAAAGCATGTGAGTGTCTACTACTGTCGGCTAAAATGAAAAGAAAGGTGTGGGGGCACTCATTATCCATTCTGTCTGGATTCTTACAGGAAGAGCCATATGTGATGTTCAAGAAGTCTGACAAACCCTTGTATGGAAACGATCGCTTTGAAGGTTATTGCATTGACCTCCTCAGGGAGCTGTCCACTATCCTTGGGTTTTCCTATGAGATCAGACTGGTGGAGGATGGAAAGTATGGAGCCCAAGAGGATGCCAGCGGACAGTGGAATGGAATGGTTCGTGAGCTAATTGATCATGTAAGTCAATTTTACAAGCTTTCAAATATGCATTTAGATTTCAAACCTTTCTATAAAAATTGTAAAACCTTTATGATAATTCTATTTGAATAAGAATTGATGCAAGTGGATGGGTATCTATTATGTCTTTAGTGTAGAATTTGTAAAATAAAGCATCTCTGTTTTGCCCATAGGCAGTGGTTGTTTTGGCTAGCTTTTCCATAGCATATGTTTAAGACAAAATATGAAACAAATAGTACTCAGAATTTATTTCTGGGAACTATGTAAGAAGTTTTATAACAAATTTTTGTTTATAAAAAATTTGCTACAGCAATACAAGTGAGGTCTCCTTTTCTGATAGTGAATCTGAGATTTTTGTCTTAGAGAAATTTCTCTGTGAGTAGTGTAAGCACACATATCATTTGACATATTCATCTTTCTTGAAATTTTACCAATAAAGTGCAGGAAGTAAGACAAAAATGTCATCATATACTGATGGAACAAAGCAATGTCACACCAAATACCATTACAATTGACTGCAAGTGATTATGGGAGGTATTACTTCAGGTTCTTCAAAATATACTTTCTCAGTTGGTCATGCCAGTTGAATTCAGTCTCAGAAAAATTTGCATATATTTAAAAATTATGTCATTGTTCCTTTCTGTACTTTGGGTGAGTTGCTTGATAGCATTTTCTCTATAGACATGAGGTCAAAGATCGAAATGAAACATATTCTGCACATCACCGTCATTTAAAATAGATGGAGGACTGTAGTTAATTCAAGTGGAACCTCTTAATGATGGCCAAAGCTGCATGAATCACTTGAAAAAATATTAACTTATCTTGTTTCAATTTGCTTTAAGATTTCAGCAGATGGGCTGAAAGATGTGCTAATCAAATTATTCATATTTAGGAATAAATAAGAAGGTTGTGCTTCATGCTTTTCTAGTAAATGTTAATCTGGTATTGGTGTTGCAACAGATGTTGATTATGCCTGGCTTCACACATTTAAGAAGAATGCGTGGGCATATTATGGTTATGTTATCTTTAAATGTGTGTATTTATAATACCTAGTACACACACATAGAAAGCAAACTTATTTAGCTGGACTCTCTGTCCATCTCTATAAATGTGCATTTTTACACATGAATTAGTGCATAGGCCTGTTAAACTATTAGATTTGATGCTTGTTAGGCAACATCCTCATCTGGAACTAATTTTCCATGATTGAGGTGGAAATTGTGGAAGTATTTATTCAGAAGCAGATATAAATCACAGTTTTATACACCTCTTATTATTCACCCTTAAAGCATTCTTAAGAAAACTCTAGTATGGCCTCCTAAGCTTTACACTAAGATAATCTTAAAAAAAAAAAACAAACATTTGAACAAGTTGCAGAAATAATGTGTCAGAAAGATCTTTCCTCTTCATAACACAGAATGAAACAGGTAGTCTTTTCCCCATAATTTATATACAACTAAACACAGATTAAATTTTTTTTTTTTGTTCTATTCAAATGATTTTTACTTAGGAGTCAGAAAAGTTTAGAGACTGTGTTGGTACACATGGAAAATGTAGTCCAACTTTCTAATCTGGACCATAATTTTTAGTAGTCTCTCTAAATTAAAAAGTTTTACTTTAATTTTTTCCTCTGGTTTTATCAATTCTTACTTTATAATCTATTCGAATATATGCAATCTATTTGAATATATGCAATTTATTTATACACCTGTCCCCTTAATTTGCATGCATGTTATTAGTAAAATTAGTTGCATTTTTCTAGCAAGCAACATTTCAGACCTCAAAAGTGAGGTGAAAAAATTTAGTGAAGAAGTCCAGACAGGCAGTTACCACATTGGGTGTTTCCATATGGTTAGTAGTTCACATGCTCCATTAGCTTTCCATTCTTTTTCCCCTAGAGAATATTTTTAAATTGTTGTAAAGGTTTTCTTTCCTAAAAAGTAATTTAATAAACTCAATTTGTGTGTTTTTGAAAGGTTAAATGATTCCATATTTTTCAACTAGAGTTCCTAATTAAAATAGACTACACAATAAAGATGGTTCTTAGCCATAGCAGTTAAATCTTTAGAAAAATGTTTCTAGAATTTTTTTTGTTTTGTTTTGTTTTATCTGTCATTTAGGTTCAGAGAGAAAGGTCACCGTGCTGTAGTATATATGTTTGCAAGAGTAACATGTAAAATGCATAATCCAAGAATAAATTAAATGGATAATTTTGGTATGTTATGTGCATAGAAAGGAAAATGCACCATTTATATAAAAAGTACTAAATAAATCTAAGATTTAAATAAATTGTTTAAATCAGCCTTTAGTCACTTTGCATAATTGCTGGGGCTTGAAAATCTAAATAAAATGAAGATAATTCTATCTGAGTTGAACTTAGCATATCATGTCAGTCTCAGGATTTAAATTTTATAATATGAACAGCGTCTGAAGTGTTTTCATCAGGCTCTGTTTGTTTTCAATCTCCTTTCCCATAGTTTGCTCATGTTTCTTCTTTCCTTGACTGTTTTATTTAGAGTCCACACCTGCATTCTTATATCAGTCTCCAAGCAATAAGTAGTTTTTTGTTTTGAATTTGTGGTCAATGCTGTCAGTGAAAATTATATAGTGATTCCTTCCCTTTGACAACTGACAATGAATTCTTGTTGGAGAAAAGCACACTGGTCTCTAGAGTTGCAAATGTAAGACAAATATTAGCTAGGACAGCAAATACAGATGACATTTCTCTATGAATAAATTTTGAATTGAATTTTTCCACTTAAATGCTCTGATTTCTTTCCCACAAATTTTCATTGAGTATTTTACCCGCTTCTCAAGTTAGTTCAAGGTATGATTGCTACATTTTTAAGGGAGGAGGAGCTAAGTTCAGGTATCTCCATTCTTTATGGATGGATTCCTCATAAAAAAAGTATTCTTTCTTGCTGCCTTTGGTTCAAAAACCTTATGAAAGGACGGATTTATCGAATGGGTTTTGAACTGAATCATAAATTCTGGAGAATTTCAGGTTGTTCTTAAGTACTAAAAGTTGTCATGTCACTGTATTATATTGCATGTGGCACATAGTTTAAGCATGCAAGTTATATTCCAATATAGCTAGCACAGACAGATAGAATGAAAATATATAACTTTATTTTTAGAAAATTTGACATCCTACTTTACAGATCCAAAAGTACTTAAAAAATTTATTAACATTGGGTTCCAAAACAGGAAAAAATTACTATTTTATACTCTGACAGGACTATAAATGAAAAATCCATTGGGAAGTAATTTGTTATTATATATACATGATTAAAAATAACTATTTTTTGAGGGGTTCTTTGAATGATTCTTCTACAGCACAAAGCTTATGCATTAAAAATACACTTCAGTCCTTACAGATCTTTTAAAATTCATAAATAATTACAGAAAAGATCAAATTTTTAGATCATGATCTTTGATCATATGTGAGGATTAAAATTGAATTTTTTTTGTCTCTAAGAATAGGATTGAATTTCAGCTTGGAGGAATTTTACACAGCTGAACATTTAGAAAGAACTTTTGAGTTTGAATTAACGTTAGACATAATGTTTTTTACTTCACTATATTTTTAATTTTTCATAATCAATATCAATTTTTCAAAATAAATACACATCAAATACATTTAAAAAAATAGTAGTAGCTTTTTATTCTTTTAATAACAGAATAGATGATTTAAATATTTTTAGTGATTTTTTCCTCCAATAACCTGTTGGTTTCTTTCTTTTATTTTAAATTAAGGTCTTTATGATCTTGAACACCTCTAGCCAAACTCTTTGTGTTATTGTGTAGAAGTCAAAAAAACCCCTTCTAATAACTGATTGTGTAGATGTTTGATTCCTTCCTTTTTGAGTCAGTGAAATTTTACTTTCTTCCACCTTGTTTTTTCCACATTCTTCTGTTTCAAATATCATTTCATCATATTGTTTGGACTCTACCTCTTTCCTTCATACTTATAGGGAACCCTACCATATAGAGACTCAAGGAAAGGCTATGGAAAGGGAAGGCTATGGAACATCTCTTCCCTCTGTTCTTGTCATTTTCATGCAAAAGGTTGAGATTTTCAGTACAATGGAGGATAATTTAGCCATGGCTCGTTTATTAGTGAAAATCTCAGAAGACTTGTTGGCAATAGG